TCGACACAGTCGGATCAAACATCTGCCTGGCCAGTTGCATCGGCCCCGACCGTGTCGAAGGGAAGTCGCACTTGGACATGAAACCGAATACGGTGTCAAGCCCTCTGCTCAGTGGTCCAGGCACAAACGGCGCGAGACGATCCCGAACGATACTGCCAAGGAGGTTTGGATCGATGCGGCCAGGCGCGAAAGAATCAACATCTTCACGGGGCGATGCCGCAGCAACAATCTGGTCGCACAGCAAGTGGGCTGCTGGTCGTTTCTTTGGGGGCCTGCCCTTCGGCCTCGGCTGCGCCTCAGCAGCCATGCCATCAAGAGCTTGAGCCCAAAACGGCAACGGGGTGGAGGAGTCGGTGGAGGAGGGATCGGAGGGTGAGCAACTCAAAATGTTGACATCGAAATTAGTGCCGCCTCTAATCGGTCACGCGCCCCCCCGTTTCAGTGGACACACCCCATGGACATTGTGAATCCAACTTGTTGCGGAACTCCGCCCTTGTTTATGACGCGTCCCCGCTGCTCCTACGAAGGCCAACACCCCCTCGTCATCCGACGCAGAAGGGGACGGGCGCGCACGAAGGTTCTAGTTGCACGAAATGAGCGCGGGGTGTGATCGGCGAGGCTCGGGGGCATTCAAGACGGATTGTCGCCTGAAGCATTTGGGTTGAATTTGTCGCGCGTGGGGGCATGCACAGAAGGCCCAAACGGAATCAGGGCGGGTGAGAGACTCATGGGGGGTGAGCAAGGCCACGTTGCAGTGACAGCGGATGTCCTGAAGCTTTTCAAAGTACCCCCCGCATCCCTTAGAACGTCCCTAGACTTCTCCCTTAACTCACATTTCACATAACATTGATTATGTTTGTTGTTTTTGCGCACTCCCCCCTCCTCTTTACACGAATCCTCTTGCTCCCGTTGTCAAGCGACCGATGCTGCAACCAGATGGCGAGCACAAGCAAGAACGCGGGAGTTCCCAATTATGCGCCCTTGGACGTTTGCTGTTCGATCGAGCGCTGAAGCGCTCTCCTGCCCGCGTGAGTCAGTGCGCGCTCAAGGTGCGCGTTCGCTCGCTCATGCAGGCAAAAACTTTGGCGGGGTCCACCCCTCCCCCTGCCAGTCAGGGGGGGAGGGCAGAGAGGGGAGGCAGACGGAGAGACGAAGGACGAGGGGGGAGATGGACGCGGCGGCGAAGGAGGAGGAAGAGGATAAGGTGGAGAAGGGGGGAGGAGGAGGAGGAGGAGGAGGAAGGGGTGGTGAAGGAAGGAGGGGGGAGGGGGAGGAAGGAGGACAGCGGAGGGAGGAGGGAGGATGAGGTACGCTAAATAAGCACGGCGACCGAGATCGGCGCGCGCATGACGAGAATGTGCTCTACAGTTGAGGGTATGGTTCTTTGTTGGGGTGTTGTGGGGCGTTGTTCGTTGTTGGTTCTTCGTGTCCGTCGGGGGGGGGTGGTCTTTGTTGGGATGTTGAGAGTGACCATCCCCTGCCTGTAACACCAACCCGTTGGCAGAACAATACATGAAGGCTGGTGTTGTTCTTGAATTGGCGGCAAAGCCGATGTGTATGTTTTGACTATTTTTTGAGTATTCAACTTACGTGGTGCCGAAAGTATTTCTGAGGTATTCAGAATTAAATGTCCTGTAGAACACATTCCCGTCTTAAGCCTTCGCTCGAATAGCAAGGTGCTCAACAACGTCGCAATCGAACATCATGCCAACCACTCGCGAGATGCCCGCATCCGCTTCCGTGGGGGCTGCCAGCCCAGCTGCACCCACTTGGTGCGGGGCTCTCCTGCGCGCCCTTCGTACCGCTCCCTGATCTCGTGGTCCACGATGTCCACCTATCGAGGAGCTCCGCCTCGATCCCCTTCAGCAATCGCGTCCCAGAACACCTGCAGGTCGGCATCGTCGCTAGCCGCGTGGTTCTGGGACTGGGCTGCGCGCCAGTAGTCGTCAAGCGCTGGCCTCGCACAGCATCGGCGTACCGGTGTGATTGGAGCTGGTGCGATCGGGATCCGCTGCCACGGGACGCGGTCGTCTGCGAGGGATGGCAGGTCCATGGCGCAGTGCACGGGGAGCGGCGTGGCCACGTCGACAATGGGACCCTCCAGCCAAACAAGAGGAGGAGGAAAGAGGAGGAGGATGAAGGCAGGCATCGGAGAGGGAGAGCAAAAAGACGACGATGATGAGATGGGTGAGAAGGAGGACCAGGAGCAGGAGGAGGAGAGAGACAACCAGTAGCAGTGTTTGGGAGGCGCATGAGGGTGGCGAGGACGACTATGAACAGGACGAGGAGGGCGCCACACCCCCTACTGCCGCTCCGCTCCCTCGTCGCCGCCAGCGCCGTCACAAGTCCCCTGACACCCGCCACTCTGACTTTTGTCAGCCCGCAGCCCCAAGGAGGTCCCGACCGCTTCCCTGGGTGTAGGTTTTAATTCAGGATCCATCAGACCGACGATCAACCGACGGATCTTACGCGAGATGGCGCCGAGACCTTACGCGGTGGCCTACGCGGGCCGCCGCCGCGACACGCCGCATAGGAGACGAGGGTGCTCACGCGCGACCTTACGCGGACAGCTTACGCGCCAATGTCGGCGCAGATGACCCTCTTTTGTGCGATGCTCACCTGTTTCCTCGAGGGCCAGAATCTAGAAGAAACGCCGGCTGAAACGATCCCAGCAAAGCACCATAATAGCAGCAAATGTTCAGAGGCGGGCAGGGGAGTAGAACATCGGCTAGGAAGAAACGCGGACTCCCACGGGTGAGAGGGCGCGGCCCTGCGCACCTCAGTGCCTTTTGTTTACAATGTGGCCGGCCGGACCTGAATTCACGTAGCCAACATTGATGCGAGAGCCGGATTCCGGAATCTATGTTCAGATGCCTGCATGTAGCCATGCAGCCTGGCCAGCCCATGTCTTGCCCAGTGCCTGGCTGGCCCAGTGTCTGAGGCGAGAGCACACTCCCATAATCAATCACGACGGAGCCTCCCGCGAAACGGCTGCCGGACCGCCTCCAGACCTGGCGGTCTTGGGCTCCCCGCCCCCCAGATGGCCCTGTCTTTTGGCTACCTCTCAAGGCTCCGCCCCTTCCGCACCGGGGCCCCCCCCCCAAGATGTCCGCAGCCCGAGAGGCTCCGACCGGCCCCAGCGTGTCTCAGTCCGCGGCCCCGGAGGTCCCGACCGCTTCCCTGGGCCAGCTGTCTGCCCCCGATCCATGTGCAACCCCCGCGGCCCGAGGTCTCATAAGAGAGACGCCAGCTGAAACAACTCTGTCGCTGGGGACCTGGAATATCCCTCCCCTTTCCCACCAGTTTCGACGCCCAACAACTCTGATCCAGAACGAACAGCAGCCGCTGTTGGGCAGACGGCCGCCCGTCTCCGATGGATAAAGCCCCGCGGCGGCACCGACCGCGAGTCCTGCTCAACATTTGCCAAAAACTGCTCTCGGTCTTTGTCCCCATCCTTTCAGTACCTGGGGGCGTCAAAGAGCGGAGCGTCCAAGAGGGGGGCGTGCAAATCCTGGCCCGCGGCATGTGCGCGGCCCAGGGGGGGGGGGCGGGGGACGTGTTGCAATAAGAATAGGCGCCATGAAATCTGGGGAGCTTTCATGGCCCCCGCCATGATATCCCCCACCCCTCTGCTCATCACCCCCTCTTTCTCCGCCCCCGAAGTAGGGGTGTGTTGGGTCCTGAAAACCCCCAAGCAGGAAAAAGACAATGCCACTTCTTGAAGGGCGCATCTTCCACTTGCGTTGGCTTCCGCCGGCAGCGCCGCCCCCGTTTCACCTCCGCCGCCTCACCCCGGTAGAGCCGAATCGGTAAATCGGATCGGCGATCGAACTGAATCGGATCGGCAAAAGTCGGAAGCCGAGTCGGGAGAAGCCGAGTCGGCGGAAATCGGCAGGCTAGTGGGCCTCAATTGAGAAACCGGCGTGCAGATCGGAATCCGAAGCAGAATCCGATCGCAATCGGAGACCATCGAGATCGAATCGAATCGGAAGAGTCGAGACCGAGCCCTGTCGCCCCGACCTTCCGCCCGGGGGAAAGATCACAGCCTGATCGAGCCTCGAGGCGATGCACCTTCTGGAACACCTCCTAGCGCTCGAGCCGAACGCGGTGTTGCATGTGCATCGGCCGACCCCGTACAGGACACAGCACGACAGCCCCTGTTGGCCATAATCTGCCAAACCTCCGTCGCTAGGTTGTCCAGTATGAGCCGCGCTGACAGCGCAGATGGGGGGGGGCTGGGAAGGGGCAAGCCCCTCCCTGACACAATCCTTGCGCCGATGTGTGACCGCAGCGATCGCAACGGCGATCTCCAAAACCGACCCGAAGGTTCGTCGGAGATCTACTGACCTGGGTCAATCCAGCTCCAGGCCAGTCGAGTTTTGCAGGATCCTGCAAGATCTGGCTGCATCCTGCAGGATCCTGCACGTGAGCCTGGGTCAGTGCACCCATGGCCCTGCAGGATCCTGCAAAATCCAGCGCCCTGTCTGAACCCCGTTTTCGATGGCAATTCATGGGAGCCTCCCATGCCATCTTGTCGGCTCTTGCGAATCGACGCTAGTTGATAGTAAATCGACGCTAATCGACGCTAAATTGACGCTGAATTGACGCCAGCCGACGCTAAAACGGAGCTATCTCATCGACTCCCAGACGTTAAGTAGTGGACGCTAATCGGCGCTACAGACTTGCGAGGGTAAACGAGGCTCCCATGATTTGCCACCGAGCCCGTCTGCATTGACACCCGTCTCGAGGTTCCCGCATTTGGTTCTGAGGCGGCTATCCTGCTATCGTGCAGCGAGAACCCCAGAGATCCGATGTCGTGATTTTTTCAATTCGCGGTCCTTGGAAAACTCGATCACTTCCCTAAGACCGGTTCTTTATCTTGAACTGTTTTTTGATGGTCCCGGGGCCCGGCGAGGGCCCCTGGAGGCTGAAAACAGCCAACAAAAAAATTCAATACGTTGGATCTCTGGGACAGACGCCCCCCCCTCTGGGCGCCCCACCAGGAGCCGGCGATCCTCACGTCCGACGCCCCTGGCCTGCGCCAGGCCTGCCCCGGCGGTACCGCGAGCAGGCCCCAGAAGTGGGAGGGGGGTGGGCAAGGAGGGAGGGCCACGTGGAGCGGCGGACTCCTCCTCCTCCCTCCTCCTCCCCCTCCTCCTCCTCCTCCTCCTCCTCCTCCTCCTCCTCCTCCCACCCCCTCCTCCTTTCTTCCCCCTCCTCCTCCTCCTCCTCCTCCTCCTCCTCCTCCTCCTCCTCCTCCTTGTCCTCCTTGTCCTTCGTCCTCCTCCTCCTCCTCCTCCTCGTCCTCCTCCTCTTCCTCGCCATCCCCCTCCTCCTCGTCCTCCTCCTTCCCCCTCATCCCTCCCCCCGCTCGCTTCTATGATTCCACGATCGCAGAAGATCCACACCAAATATCGCAAAGCCAATGCATTAAAAAAATAATGGGCAACAATGGGGGGAGGGAAAGCTGAACGATGCCTCATACAAAATCATACTTGTCTCGAAACGGAACACTGCACCAGAACATATGCGACCTGGCGTTTGGATCGCGGCCTTCTTCAGCCGAGGCAGGGGCCTGCCACCGCCTTCAGTCCGAGGCCGTCTGGGGCACCCCTGAGGCCGAGAGATGCATGCGGTGCGGGCCCCTCACTCCGAGCACAGCCGCGACGACGACAGCGCGCCGCGCATCGGGAGGAGGAGGAGGAGGAGGAGGAGGAGGAGGAGGAGGAGGAGGAGGAAGCAGGAGGAAGGAGGAGGAGAAGGAGGAGGAGAGGATGAGGGGGAAGAAGGAGGAGGAGGAAAGGAGGAGGAGGGAGGAGTAGGAGGAGGAGTAGGAGTAGGAGTAGGAGTAGGAGTAGAGTAGAGGAGGAGGAGGAGGAGGAGGAGGAGGAGGAGAAGGATAGTAGGAGGAGGAGGAGGAGGAGGAGGAGGAGGAGGAGGAGGAGGAGGAGAAGGAGGAGGAGGAGGAGGAGGAGGAGGGGGGGTGGGAGGAGGAGGAGGAGGAGGAGGAAGGAGGAGGAGAGGCGGAGGAGGATGGGGGAGAGAGGGACGAGGGGAGGAGGAGGTCGGCGAGACGGGCAAAGGCTGCCCCCCGATCCGAGCCCATCCCGTGCATCTGCAGGACGCCCAACCAGACTGCGTCCCTCCGGGGTCCAGGCGACGACTCTCCCCCCCACCCGCTCCTGCAGGACGCCCAACCAGACTGCGTCCCTCCGGGGTCCAGGCGACGACTCTCCCCCCCACCCGCTCCTCCTGGTCCAGGCGGCGGAACCCCCCCCCCCGCTCCTGTCTCTCCTCCTCCTCCTCTCTCCTCCTCCTCCTCCTCATCCCCTCCTCCTCCTCCTCCTCCTCCTCCTCCTCCTCCCCCTCCACCTCCTCCTCCTCCTCCTCCTCCTCCTCCTCCTCCTCCTACTCCTACTCCTACTTCTACTCCTCCTCCTCGGGGGATCCTCTGGCCAGGCACGCCAAAACGAAACTCGAGCAGGACCGGGCTTTGTCCCCCTTCAAGCGCGGGCAAGAACTGGGCACCGGCAAGCTCGCGCGGACGAGCGGAATCGGTACGACGGGGGCCCCCGTCGATCTCTCCTGCCGAGCGATGCGCAGCGACAGACGCCCCTGAGACATCTGGCCACTCCTCGAGCCCAGGCTTAAGTCGGGCGTGTCGCTCTCCCCGACGCCCCGCCCGACGACCAACGCTGCGCAGCCACGGCACCACCGCCGATCCAGGCAGCGGCGACGTCGACCAAGCCAGCGCCGACGCCTTCATCGAGGCCGACACTGACGACAGTGCCGACACTAGGGGAACAAGAAGTGACATAAACATAAAAACTCTGATGTCCGCGCGGATTTCTCGGATCGGCGCTGGACCCCCCTCCCTTGCGCGCGGAGCGCGCCAAGGGCGGCGCCGGAGGCGCCGCCAGGGGGGCCCAGCGCGGATCCGAGAAATCCGCGCGGACCTCCGAGCTTTTTATGTTTATGCAACTTTTCGTTCCCCTAGACTCAGCGGGCGAATAACGGTATAAACTAAACTTTTCTGCCGTCGGGGACGCCTGCCCCTTGGCGGCTGGAAAAGTTATACCCCTACGGTGCCACCGTAAGGGTATAAACTTTCCAGCCGCGCTGGTACAGGCGCCCCCGACAGCGAAAAAGTTGATTTTATACCGCTCTTCGCCCGTTATGAAACCAGCCGCGACGCCAGCACCCCAGTCACCAACCCCAGCACCGCGGCCCAGCGCCGACAACAGCCTCGACGCCGGCACCGACCAAGCAAGACCCACCAAGTAGTCAACAAATAGTCAGGGGACGATCTGTTGAGCATTTCTTGACCATCTTGGAGTACGTTTTGACTGTTGCTTATTTTTCATCAGAGTTTTTATGTTTATGTCACTTGTTGTTCCCCTAGTGTCGGCACTGTCGTCAGTGTCGGCCTCGATGATGGCGTCGGCGCTGGCTTGGTCGACGTCGCCGCTGCCTGGATCGGCGGTGGTGCCGTGGCTGCGCGGCGTTGGTCGTCGGGCGGGGCGTCGTGGAGAGCGGTTGGGAGGGGTGTTAGGAGAGGGCGCGGGCGAAAACGTTGCGAAGGGCGTCGGGTCGGGCGCCGTGCCGGGCGGTGACCTGGACCGTGGTCTGGCCCATCGAGATGCCATTGAGGTAGAATCGGTGGCTTTGGCGGCCGCCTCCCCGATCTCGTGCGGCGCGAAGCCGTGGCCCAAGGAGCAGCCGCGCAGACCCAGAGTGCCGTGGCGCGCGCGGAGCTTGCCGAAGGGGCCGAAGGTGTCGCACGGGGCCATGTCGTC